AGTGGCGCCGTAAATCTGGGATGCGGACTTGTTTGCTCATTCGCAACATAACTGCACGCATGGCCGGCGACCACACATCCCGGGTGGTGGGAAGGCAGCGACACAGCCAAGATAGGCAAAGTAGCATGGCACAGCGTTAGCACAACAGCGGTTGCCTTTGTTTGAATGCTGGCGGCGGGCTCAAATGTCATCCGCGAGAGTTCCGAGGACGCTTGGCTGGAAGAGCCAGAGAGCTGCCAAGGGCAGTGGCAGATCTGGAGCCCGAGTTGAGAAATCACGTTGCCGATGGGGGAACACGACGCAACACCACATGTTGGGGCAGCAAAGCGAGTATGGCAAGATGCTGATCGATCTGACAGGGCCCACTTCGAGCAATGACCGCAGCGGCACGGCCTGGGTGGGCTGAGGCAATGCCGAAAACACCTCCAAGCAGTGCATAGGGTAAGCTCCAGGCGAGGCCACCTCGAACCTGTGCAGGGCAACACTGAGCACAGAGCAAAAGGAAGTCTGCTGAGAGGCAGACCCAGAAGACACTCCGGTACAGGATGTTCGCAAGCTACAGTGCAGTGGGCGCGAGGGCAGGTAGGAGAGTGCAGTAGGTCGCAGGCGCCAAGTGCAAGAACACGGAAATACACAGTGTCATGCAGCGGATATGGCAAAGGACGGATCTCAAACATCGCCTTTTTATAGCCTGGGTTAGCCCATGATGTCCAGTGACGTCGAAGCGGGTGAAGACATGAATGGGTGCAGTGGGGACCAGCCAGAGGTGGCGCGGCTAAGGTTTTGAGCACCAGGCCGGTCAGGAAAGGCCAAAGAGTTGCCCGTGGCCAAAAAGGTGAGTCCGGTGCATTGCACTTTGATCCATGGTATATCATCCAGCTGACTTTGAAGCGATTGGCTGCAGTTTCAACTTGCTGGGGTACAGACTGTGAGCCCGCTTCGACAGCCTGAATGGCACACCTGGCCGCTGAACTTGGCAGGAGTCCTGCAGCTGCCTGAGATATGCTGTGCTCTCGCCGCAGTATGATACCATCTCTGCGTCACAAGCGGAAGTGGGAGAGCCCGTACATCCCCAGTCGGTGGGGCTTGCCAGACCATGCGTATCCATCAACAGACCTGAAGCGTTGGATTTCCAGGGCCGTGAAGTAATTGATATGAGGTTACCGACAGACAGGTCGTTGGCCGTTGCATGTTCAATGAGCCTGTTCAGGCCACAGAGTAAGCAGAGTAGGCCTCGCAGGTATGCGCATGGGCCTCAGAACCCAGTGATCTTGTTTGCTGGTACCAAAGTAATCACTTGTGGCCTGGCTCTGTTGGTACGCTCTCGTACCCGGGTCCTTGTAGCACTTGGCATCCATGGCGGCACGAGGATAGTAAAAGCCCTGAACCCCGAAGCAGGGGCACAGGAACCGAAGCCGAAAGGGGAGGCCACCACCAACCCCGAAGCCCCAGAACAGACGGACCAAAGAAGGGAGGGAACCCCAGTCACCAAAACACACCAGACCCAACGAAAGGGGGAGCTGCTGAGCCTTACATACATACATACATACATACATATACATGCATGCATGCATACATACATACATACATACATACTTGCATTGCATTGTATGGCATTACATTCCCTTCCATTCCATTGCACTGCATACATACCGATCTATTCTGCGTGTCTACTTCCTGCAGATCGGACATCCCTGCATCGCGAAGGCTGTCCTGACATTCTCCAGAGACGCCCGCTCGGCAAGCAAAGTCACCTAGACTTCGGAGCTCTGGGAACGTGTCGTGAACAAATACTGCAGAGATTCTTCCTTTGCCGGTCTTCGAGGCCTGGCAAGATCTAGGTATCCACATGTTCGTCTCAGTTAAGTCATGCTGAGCCCTGTAATGGGGCTCAGACGGCACTGGTCAATTCGGACAGGCTCGCCGCCAAATCCATCTCCATCGCTACCATCACTAAACGTTCGGCCGTGATTTCGCTCTATCCGTATTCTGCTTTCCGAACGTCGTAGAGGCTATGATGGCCAACACCAAGCCTCTGAACTGCTGGTGCCTTTTGCATTGGGGGTTTTGGGGTTGCCTTTACGGCTCATCCTTTCTAGTTTCGCTTGCCTTCGCGTGGCTTGGAGCCATGTTTCTCCGGAAGGTCATGCTCAAAGTGCAGGCTGATGCCCTCCTGCGAACCCGCAACATCCCGCAACAAACCTCATAAAAGGGCCCACTGATATTCTCGACTTGCCGCTACTGTATGTGACAATGCAAGCTGCCGCGCTCAAAGTTTTATGACGTCTGCCCAGCCTATGCGGCTTGCGCTCATGAAGCATCACACATGACCGCAGACAGCATTTGCCTGATCGTTGGAGTGAGGCTTCTTTACCTATCGGTTCGGTGGGACTTCGTCTTCGGCACAGGTCTGTGCTGCAACGCACAGACGCGGCAACTTGTAGAGTCCACACAAAAGGCCCAACGGCGAGGATGATGGCTAAGGCGGGCAGATGGCTTCACCGGACCAAGTCTGATGAATCCAACGATCATGCATGCGGAAAACTGAAACTTTAGCAAGAAACGGCTCGCGAGGAGCCAGGAGGTTAAATCAATGAATCACAAGCCTTTCGAAACTCGGAAACTCTGCAGCACGAGAACGGTCTTCCAACTCGCATGGAAGGATTGGAAGTCAAATTTGGCAGTCTCTGCCCTGATTATTCAAGCTGATCCGATCATCTAGGCCCAGGCCGGCAACAACACTCATGTCTGATGATTTTCACGTTGCCCGGAGGCGTACCTGTAGAGCCCAACTGCTCTCTTTCTAGCAGTGCTCATACTCCCTAACGTGTCCGGATGCACCTTGTCTGCAGCATCCTGCAAGGTAGCTAGGACCTGGGGCCTGCGGCATGCAAAGCCTGCCAGCTTGCTATAGAAACCTTGGGCATCTTGAGAACACATGATTGTCGTCGTGGTCCCTGGCAAGGCTGATAATAAAAACACGCTTCTTGCGGAATAGTCTCATCTCGTTGGCCAGGGACCCAGAACGCTTTTTGTGGCAGCAGCGTTAAGCGGACCACTGACCTGCACGCTCCCTTCCAGCAGCCTGCGTCAGGCTTACTATTACAGGCTTGCCTGATAAGTTAATGGTTAATGTGTCCCCTGAACGTGTCCTTAGGGCCCGATGTTAAGCTTGCGAGGTCCCAAGAGAAGACCCCTGCATCAGAGCTTCTCGGGCGCGTCAGTTTACAAAGGCTGCAGCTCCTCAGCTGGACAGGTCGGCTCAACTGCAACATCATGCCACACTCAACTCAACTAGGTTTTCTTGGCAAATCAGAGTCAGTGTTGCAACACCTGAACACAAGTGGAGTGAACGGCCGGCACAACGAAACCTGTGCGTCATTCAGCTTTCGGGCAAAACCCAGCAAATGCCCACTTGCGAGACCATCCGAAAGCAAACTCTTACTTCCAAGCCCCAGGCAGAAGCGCACGTGGCATCGGCACGGGATTGGCACGAAGGTGAGACTGATGGGAGAGAAACGAGCACATGCATGGGAGGAGTTCGTGTATTGCACACTGCCGCAGTGACAAGACATCTGAAAACACGGGCTGCGATGTTCTTGCAGCTAGCTTGCCCTGCTGCTGAAGTGTTTCATCTACGTAATCGATCCAGTACATCGTGTAACTTTCTCTGCATATTCAAAATCCGACTACTCCTAGTGTAGCTGCGTGTGCAGAGGGGAAATTAAGACAGGAATGATTGTTGCCCCAGGCGTGGTTCCACGTGTACTGCCTTCTGTGCCTGAAGAAGGTGTGCATACGGGGCATTAACTTTAGCCTCAAGTTGTAGGGCTGCTTCTCCCCCGAAAGATATTGGCAAGAGCAGCTCGGAAGCAGGTGCAGCTATGCTGACCCCCTAACTGAAAATCTCATGGTCCTACACATGCTCGTTTCTCCATCCAGCGCCTCACGACAGCCTCTAGAGAAGCCTCACATCCGCAGCAGCATGCCTGGCGATTGCGAGGGGGTGCGAGTGATGGTCGGTTTCACTTACAGTCTCGAGAAGCAGGAAGATCACTGGCATGCTTGAAACCTCCACTACGAAGGCTTGCAACAATGCGCCATGGATGCAGCGAAACCTCACAGGATACCACAAGCTTTTCGGCATTGGTGCAGAAAAATCGATGTTGTCGCAGGAAGGCGTCAATGCCATCATTGAGCTGCACTGAACGGGCTGTCATCTTTGTGGGAGTATGGAGTTCAACCTATCTCAAACCGAGCGCGCTAACCTCAGTATCTTGAAACAACCACAGCACAACTCTCTGGCACATTTCAGCCCACGCAATCCATTAACATTGAATCTGGCAGCTTCGAGCTTCGGTCACCTCCCTGAGTCTGTGGGGCTTCCGCTCTGTACAGCAGTGCGGGATCCACAGTCTGTGCTTAAAATGGAGCCTTGTGCACGGGTTTGAGGCTTTGACGACAACGGGCAGCATCCTCTTGTGAGGACAAGTGGCCTGAGCCCCAAAACCTGCAGGCTCTTCGCCATGAAACTGTTTGAGGTTGCGCTGGAGTCGAACGGACCACAACGTCAGCGTCGGCTACTTCTACTGATGCACCAACATGTTAGAATCTTACACCTCGCCTGCTTTGCAGACGAGGACGACTGGCTTAACAACGCGCGCGTAATTAACTTCTAAAGTCTAGTCTCGGGGAGCTTGACAACGGGAACCAAGCATCCGTACTGCGTGGGTAGGACAGGAGTATCGGCAAGCCATGTCACCATTCAAGGCTCGGACATTCCTTGCTTCAAGCTTGTCTGCAACATAGCTGAAAGGGGCTAACGACAGGGGAAACTTTGGAACCGGACGTACTGCCCAGAGCGATGTTGATAAAAATGGTATACGATTGTCGGCCCCTTGAGCTGCCATATACCAGTAGTAGCTATACCCCACATGAAGTACATGGACGTCTCATACAAGTGCTACATGATTGCACATGCGCAGTTACATGCCAGTCTGCTAGAGTGTCTCGTGCTTCTCCTCACCATCCACGACCGCGGTCTTGTCGCTGCCGCGGCCCAGGAGCGAGTTCTATCAGGGAATCTTTTCATCATGTTGGTCTTACGTACTGTCATCTACGACTCTACATCACCTCCCTGGCTCCCTCGCCCCATCTCTCTCTCTCTCTCTCTCTCTCTCTCTCGCTCTCTCTCTCTCCTGGGCAGGAGGGGCGCGTCAGGCCCCCGGGCCGACGGCTCACCTGCAGAATAGAACTCCCCCTCTCTCTCTCTATTTGCTGTGCTTTGCTTGGGTCAGAGTCAGAGGCAGTCCCCCTGACCCGCGCCGAAGCGCATGGGCTCGCTTTGGCTCACGGTCCTCATCCAGTCTTGTTGCCATCGTGACTCCCTCTCTCTCTCTCTCTCTCTCGCGGGTCTTTTTCTCGGGCGTAACGGAGTGTCGAGGCCCCTCGAACCGATGGCTTACCCCCCTTGTCGGGATTTTTTGGAGGAGCCTGAAGGGGCGCTAAAGAACATGAAGTTTGGCGGTGCTATCGGCTGGTCCCCGAGATGTACTGCATCAGGCTTCTATGACAGCTTCAAGAAGAACTTCCAGGACCAGGGTATCTAGACTCTCTTTCTTTCTGCAGGGTTATGGGCAGCAGGGTTGCCCCCACTATCTAGACTCTCTTTCTTCTTCTTCCGCCGGATCTAAGGGGAGAGAATCTCTCTCTCTCTCTCTCTCTTCTTCCTTTCTTTCGCCAGGGCTGTGGTGGGGAGTTGCCTCCCCACCGCGCTCTGTCTCTCTCTCTCTCTCTCTTGCTCCATCATCTCTCCAGTAGGTTTGGGTAGCACGGAGTTCAGGATCAGAATCAAGAGACCGTACGGTGACCGTGTACTAGAAAGTGCTGGTGGAGCCCCTTTCCCCAAGGTTTCCCTTCCGAAAATGCTGCCAGGACTGCAGAAACTGCAGGCGGCAGGGGCCCCACGAAGGGATTGCACAGGAACGGCAGGCTGGAGCTGCAGTGGAGCTGCAGGCTGCAGGAGCCACAGGAACGTAAAGACGGGAGGCCAAGGACTGCATGAAAGGGTCAGAAAGAAGCGCCGAAGGCGGTGCAGCAGAAAGAACGAACCTACTAAGCGATTCTACTATTTGGGACGGGGGTTGGCCTTTTGACTCCAGGGAACGAGACTAATGATAGGGTAGTAGAGATGCCCAGAAGGAAGCATCGCACTCTCTCACGCCTCTTGCCGGCATGTTGTATACACTTAAATCCTCAATATGTCTGTCTGCATTGGAATTGTAGGTATGCATTGCACGGACATGGCAAGCAGAAACTACCCGAGACCGGCCTTGAGGCCGCTCAGTGTCTCGCTATGAAGCGGGTTTAAGCTGCTCGCGACGCCTGGCTCTGGAAACCGAGGGTGTGAAACAATGGAACTGCAGGGCTCTGAAGTGATCTGAATGGTTGCCACCCTCATCGCCATGCTCACTGCAAGAGGAGAGATCTCTGTCACACCGCGGGGAGGTTCGGCTTTTGCCACCAAGATCATGCAGTGGTTCAGCGATCTGCAACGGTGATTAGCTGATTAGCTGGACTACTGGAACTCTGTGGGAGACTCAACCGGCACACCTTTCCGAACCGAGGGGCGCCAAACTAAGCATGTCATGACCCACCATGCATCGCCGACTTGTAGAGATGACTGTCAGCTAGTGCCTGGCGTGCTCGCTTGAGTGGCAGGCGCTTTGCGGATGGTTTGGAGTGGTAGTGCGCCAGCTCTCGATAAACCAGGATTTGGTACGGCCTACCTTAGTCCTCGTAGTATGTCCTCGTACTCATCCCTGGAACTTCAATCATCTTGATTCTAGAGTCGAGAGTCATTCTCCACAAGGCAGCACTGCTGTCTGTTTTGGAGGGAAAGGATGCGGAGGCAGTGCCGAAATCCATGCCACTAAGTCTACACTACGCCTTAGTTCCGAAATCAGTGGCAAAGGATTTGAGCGAGAATAGTTGAATGCCATATAATGCCAGTCGGCCCTGACGACAACGTTGAAATCCTTGATATTACTGTGTCAGTCAACGACCTTCGAGTACTGCTGAAACTGAACATATCATAAAACTACCAGTATCCCTGAAACTGCAGCCACAACCAAATTTCAAGCAATAAAACCTAGCACAGCCACTACTACGACGACGACGGCGACTGCGACTGACACGATGTCGACGACGACGACGACGACAACGACGACAACAACGACAACAACGACAACAACGATAACAACAACAACAACAACAGCCACGACGACGACGACGACGACGACAGCAACAACAACCCAAAAAGCAACCACAATCACAACAACGGCAACAACAACCATGATGTCAACGACAACCACAGCTACTAATTACTACCACTACTACTAGTACTCCTCCTCCTACTACTACTCCTACTACTACTGCTGCGACTACTTCTACTACTACTACTACTACTACTACTACTACTTCTACTACTACTACTACTACTACTACTATTGTCACTACTACTACTACTACTACTACTGCTACTACTACTACTACTACTGCTACTACTACTACTACTACTACTAGTCCTACTAGTACTACTAGTACTACTAGTACTACTACTAGTACTACTACTAGTACTACTAGTACTACTACTACTAGTACCACTACTACTCCTACTACTACTACTACTACTACTGCTAGTACTGTTGCTACCACTACTACTGCTGCTGCTGCTGCTGCGACGACGACAAACACTGAGCAGTCGTCGTTGTAGCAGTAGTAGTAGCCGTCGTCGTCGTAGTAGTACTATTACTAAGTAGCAATAGTAGAAGTAGAAGTAGAGATAGAAGTAGTAGTAGTAGTAGTAGCAGTTGTAGTAGTAGTAGCAGTAGCAGTAGCAGTAGTAGTAGTAGTAGTAGTAGTAGTAGCAGTAGCAGCAGCAGCAGCAGGAGCAGGAGTAGTAATAGTAGTAGTAGCAGTAGTAGTAGTAGTACTAGCAGCAGCAGCAGTAGTAATAGCAGCAGCAGAGGCACTTGTAGCAGTAGCCGCAGTAGTGCAGCAGCAGTAGCAGTAGAAGCAGCAGAACCGGAGGAGGAGGAGGAGGGGGAGGAGGAGGAGAAGGAGGGGAGGCGCAGCAGGCGCAGAAGAAGCCGTCGTCGTTGTCGTCGTCGTAGCAGCAGTATAGAACAAATATAGACATATATTATATGTGCACACATGTATTCACACATAATATATAGGCAGCAGCTTATTGTAGTTATTTTTATTTATCTCATTTGCATATGTCATACATGCGGGAGCAACAAAACTCAACTTCTGCGAAACTCGCTCCGCCTCCTGCATCACTTTCTTCAAACTTCCCAGTAGTGCCTGCGACGGCAATCAGCAAGCAAGAGGCTGGAAAGCTCTGACCGACTGTCGTGGAAACACAGCAAGGGAAGGCATGTCGAGCAAAGGGCACACGAATGGCATGCGCTCCCGACATCGTGCCAGGTTTAAAGACCGACCCTTCCCAAAGTTCAAGTCCTCGTTTGTCATCGAAGTGTTGATAAAGTTCTTCAACACCTCATCGTTGCGAGGCTTGAGATTTGTGAGTCTCGCAAGCCCTCTTCACAAATTGGCCAAGCAAGCAATTTCAACTCGGAAGGTTCGAGGCAGTCACCTCAACAAAGTCCGGATCTGCCATGATGTGTTCCTTGGGACTCCGCAGTGGCACAGAACGGTCTGGCTAAGCTCGAACCCTGAAAACTGCCAATAATTAGCAGGGCTCTGGGGCAAGTCAAGATCCCAAGGTGAGCAAGAATCGCTGATGCCGCCTTCTGCTGCTCAAGTCAAAACCGCAAGTGCCAAACCCTGGTCAAAGCCCTGTCCGCGCCGAGCGTCCATCATTTGGACCATGCTCTTGGCCATTTTCTTGTCCTTTTTAACCACTAGTGCGACTACGTGTATTGCCCACGATGATGAGAACAGGCCAAAGCAGTTGCAAGGCTTGCAGTGCCTCTTAAAAATTTCATGGCAAATGCCTCGCGATGACTGTTGCCCATTACGGTGGCAATGATGATCATGACGATTGTGGCGATGATGTTGAGAACAGAACAGATGCCGAAAGTTTGAACACGACGATGCTGTTGCTTTGCTGCCAGATACTACTAACACTGCTACGACGACGACAAAAACTACGACTACGACGACTACGACAACTAATACTACTACACTGCGGCGACTACCACTACCACCACCCTTTTCACTACCACTGTCCATTCCCTTGCTACCGCTGCTGCTGCTGCTGCTGCTACCACAGCTACACCTACTGCTAGTGCTACTATTGCCCTTCTACCATTGCTGCGGCTGCTGGCTTCAATGCTGCTGCTAGCATAGATGGCATAGACATGAGTTCACTGCAGTACTCCCATTTTCCATTCCCGACGTACCCTGGGTCGGCCTGGAATGTCGAAATCAAAGCTGGTGGCAAGGAGGCCTTCAGCGATGGGTCGAGCACCTGGGAGCTGGGTGTGTTTTGGGAAGTGCTTTCGGCATCCGGAGATTCCGGCCTTGGTGAGCCGTGAAGCTTAAGATCTGATACACGAGGCATAAGCCCGGATCACTGTGCGGCACCCCTTTACGAATGATCACAAAATCACATTCCAATGGCATGCCTGCACTGGTCAAGACATCCCCACGGCTGCACGACATCAAAACAAGCTCCGTCGCGACTTAGGCAGGCGGTGATCAACAGCACAACGTGCAATTCAGTCTGAAGCCGGCAACCAGGAGAGCCCTTGAAGTGTTCGTGAGCTTATGTGTTCGTGTGTGTGTGCAAGTGCAAGTGCAAGTGCAAGTGTGTGAGTGTGTGAGTGTGTGAGTGTGTGTGTCTGTGTGTGTGTGTGTCTCTGTGTGTGTCTGTGTGTGTGGGTGGTGTCTGAGGCCCCAGCCGCCACTAGCAGAGACACGACCTGCTGCTTGATGGCCTCGAGGATGCCAGTGATGCCTGCAAGGCGCAGACTCTTTCCCTCTCTCGCCCTCCCTCTCCGTGCCGGCGCCCCTCACTTTTCCCTCTCCCGTCGTGTCTCTACAGCTAAACAAACACGTACATGCATAAGTATGGCATGGGTGCACTATTCTTAAAAGCTGTCTGCTGTCCCTCTCTATTGCGTGGGTTTTCCTATCGGACATGACTCTGTGTTAGACCGGCTTTCTGCTAGACAAGGGTTGTGTGTCATGCATGGCTTTCTGTTAGGCTGGGCTGGACAGAAAGAGGGGAATATGCATCTCGGGAGGGAGCCAGAATATTATACATTGAGTCATGTGTTGTGATATGTGACCACTCATGGCGCAGTTTGTGCACAGAGCACATGCCGAGACAGAGAGAGACAGAGAGACAGAGAGAGCGAGGGACGGAGAAGGAGAGAGGGATCGACAGAGAGATAGATAGACAAACAGATGATAGATAGGCAGGTAGGTAATAGGTAGATAGATAGTCGGTCGAAGAGACGGACAGATAGAGATAGAGAGAGAGAGAGAGACAGAGACACACACACACACAGACTCCCCCGCGCATTTACCACACAAATGCACACGGACACACACACACACACACCGGAGCTGGTGAAAGTACTGTAAGGGGTTTAAATACCGCTGACACAGCATCCACTCGACAATAAAACAGTCCTCTGTGCAGCTCGAGAATGGTTCAGAGGAGTTTGCTAGCATGCCGGTGAACGAAGCAAGCCCGGCCTGCACTGTTGAAGGTACCTGAGGAGAGAGGCCATGCCATACGTATAGCGTACCATTTTTATTCTTACAGCCGACCAACTTAGGGCTTTCATGCTAAAGGGCCCAAGGAGCTGCTGGCTACTTTACATTGAGAGATGGGTGGTGCCGGGCTGCAGGACCTCCAGGCTTTGCAACATGCCCGGTGCAGTCCTTGAGCTTGCTGCTGTACAGCTTGTGTTCAAGAACCCAGTAGACAACACACCTTCTATGTACAGAGTCACACAAGCAGCACTGCTTGACATCTTGAAGAAACTTCCTCCTCCTCATCATGGGCATCATCATTCTCATCGACCACCACCACCACCACCACCACCACAAGCATCAGCACCAGCGCCCATCCTCACCATGATTACCACTGCTGTCTCCAACACCATCAACAAAAGAAGCAGTCTAGCTGAGGGCAACATCCACACGTACACCAACCAACTTTTATAACAGCATCGCGCTAGTGATTTGGCTCCGTAGCGTTGCATCAGCAAGTAATGCAAAAGAAACGACCATGAATCGGATCCTCGGGGGCGCACCAAAAGTCTCCGCGGCCCCGGGCGACAGAAAGATTGCCGCCAGTGCCAGGAAAACGGCCGGGGCCCCTAGGAGGAGTAGTAGTAGCAGCAGTA